GTGGTTTCAACTCATTTCTTTCCTCTATCTTCTTTCTATCTCAGGTCTGAGATAGAGAATGTTGAGATTTCAGCCATAAGCAGTAGAATTCCAATCAGGAAACTTTGCTTAGAGGGCCTGGAGACCTAAGGCAAAGGCAAATGACTAGAGAAAAAGGTTCTCTTAGAGCAAATAAACAGCCTAGTTTCCCTGGAGGCTCCCTGTCTCAAGCTCCATGGTTGGCTGCTGTTACCTTGACTGTCTCCCCCAAACCTCTACCTCATCCCTTCCCTGTTTTCATCAATAGTTGACACCAATTAGTGGAGAAAATAGAAGCCATCAAGTATAAACTCCCATAATTTCTTTGTTCTTTGTTCTAACTCCATTCATCCTTATCTTGCCTCTTGACATGGATTGGAAAAGCTAAAGTCACCCTACCCCATGTCCTGTTGATTTGCTGCGTTCAGTCCTCAGACTATGACATCCACTCTCCTGAAACTGGCTGGCCACTGTCACCAGTGACCTTATTTATAGATGCAAAAACCAATGGCTATTGTTTAGATCTCTTATTTTGTAACATTTCAGATGATTGATCATATTCTCATTTTCAAAATGTCTCTTTTGCATTGGATTTCATGGAGCTATTTTCTTCTTATTCACCTACCTCTTACTTTTGATTAATCCTTTTTAATTTTTTCTTCCTTTGAATGCTTTTAAATACCAGCATATTCAGCAATTTATTAATTACAAGGGAGAAAGAATAATTTCAGTGGAGAAGCCTAGCAGATACCAACTTAATTAAGTGATCAAAGAGAACATCAGTAATGAGACAAATCAAGATTGTGTGCCCCTTGATAGGACGCAATGAGAAGAACACAGCATCACTTCTGTGATATTCCTGTCAAAGATGTATAACCTTTTTCATGAGAAACATCAGAAAAATCTAAATTGAGGATTATTTACTAAATAACTGGCCCACAGTCTTCAAAAATGTCAAGGTCACAAGAGTCAAGAAAAGACTGAGTAGATTTTCCAGAATGAAGGAGGTAGGTGAGACATGACAGCTAAATACCCTGTGTGATTCTGAACTGCATCCATCTGATCTATAAGACGTTATGAGGACAACTGGTGGAACTTGAAGGGGATTCTGAGGATTAGATATTAGTAATGTATCAGTGTTAGTGTCTTAATTTTTGTGGTTATGCAAGGGAATGTGTCTGTTGGAAACACACAGTAAAGTTTTTAAGGATGTTGGAGCATCAGGCCAGCAACTTAACTCTAAAATCATTCAAGGAAAAAGTTCTTTATATTTGCAACTTTTCTATAAGTTTCTGTTTTTTCCAATTTAAATAGAATCATATAAAAAACATAACCTGTGGTTTGAATCAGATCTAGATCTAAAAACAGAGAAGAGGCTGATGAGAAATTTGGAGCACATGGGATGGGGCAAGACTGCTTAAATTTGAGTTGTAATAATTACATACTGAGAAAAATGCAGAAGGAATCTTAGTGACTTGACCCTGTATCCAACCACTGAGAATCAACAGAAAATCAAAAAGAAGGAAAAAGAAATAAATCCATACAAAGCATGATCATGCAAGAAAGCCAGAACTAGGACTTAACCTTTTCACTGGCAATAACTAGAGATGGACATTTCTACCTCTGTCTCTTCTATCTCTATCCTTATGTTTCTGTGTCTATTTTTTCCTCCCCCAACTTTTTATTATTTTCTAAAATCTAATGTTAAAAAGACTCTTTACTGTGTATGTAAAAACCACATTCTTGAACTGTGGAGATTTGGCTGGTCATCCAATTACAATTTAAGTGTCTGAAATGATACTCTTCTTTTTGTTTTTTAGGAAATTATAAGTTACTTAAACATATTTCCTAAGGGGGCCTAAAATAGAGACAGTTTCCTGTCTAAGTCTATTGAGCAGAGCAAGTCTTTTAAAATCGCATCCCCAGAGATTGTTCCTGTTCTTGATGGTCAGACAAGACTTACGCTTGTCCTACAGAGAGTGGGCCTGTAGTCTCCTTGCCTTATGAAGACCACTTTTTTACTTAAAATGAGAACGCAGCCTTCTTGTGTCATATATGGCCTTAGGTCATATTGGTTCATTTCTGCTGAATGGATGTCTGCACACACACACTTATATTTATCCAGCTATCATGTATCTATGTATTTATTTAAATTTCACACTGACAAATGGTCATAGTAAAAAAAAAGAAAGAAAGAAAGAAAGAAAGAAAGAAAGAAAGAAAGAAAGAAAGAAAAGGAACAGACAAAAACAAAACAACCAAATCATCTGAAATCCCATTCAGAGAAAACCACTGTGCACTTTGTTGTGCATTCTTTTAGACTATTTCCTGGGCAAATATATACATGCATATATATTTGTGTATGTATGTATATTTATGTGTTAACAAAATAAGATTATACCAGAGTACTGCTCTGTAACCTGTCTTTTTTCTCACTTAATAGTATTATGTGATTACCTTCCTCTCTTAGTAATTGTAGACCTATATATTTTTTAACGTCTGCCTAATATTTCATTGTGCAGTGTTCCACACCATTAAATGCCTATAGTAGTTTCAGTTTTTGCTATTATAAACTTTAGGTCAATAGATATACATATATATTTGTGTATTTGTTTTATTATTTTCTTTGGATAAATTCCTAGAAGTAGGATTTCTGAGTCAGTGGTTTTGGGATGCTTTCAGTATATATTGCCAGATGGCACTCCAGAAAGGTTATATCAATGTATATGCCTGCCAACAACTTATGGAAAGTTTTTTTGAGGAATAAATTGTACAGAGTAAAGTGCACAAACCTGAAGTGTGTTGCCCAGTTTTTAAAAATGTATATATTTGTGTTAACCACCATTCAGATCAAGTTATAGAACATTCCCATTACCCTAGAAAGTTCCCCTTTGAGGCAATCACTATCCTGAGTTTTGCTGTCATTGATTAGTTTTGTTCTCGAATGTCATATAAATGGAATCATATAATATATACTTTTGTGTGTCTGGATTCTTTTGCTCAACATTGTATTTTGGAGATTTATATCTATTTTTGTCCATATCAGTGTAGTAGTCCCCTTTATTTGTAGGAGACACCTAGTGGATGCCTGAAACCTCAGGTAGTACTAAACCTCATATATTCTGTTTTTTCTTATTCATACGTATGTGTAATAAAGTCTAATTTATAAATTAGGCAGAGTAGGAGATAATCACCAATAACCAAGAATAAAACAGAACAATTACAATAATATACTGTAATAGAAGTTATGTGAATGTGATCTCTCTTCCTCTCTAAGATATTTCAAGTACTGTATTTTCCCTTCTTGTGATGATCCAAGATGATAAAATGCCTACAAGATGAAGTGAGGTGAATGTGTGACTCACTGTTAGGCTACTATTGGCCGGCTGACAGTACCTCAGAAGGAGCATCACCTGTTTCCAGACCACAGTTTACCAGGACAACTGAAACTGTAGAAAGTAAATCCAAGGATAAGGGGGACTGCTACATTCCCCTTCCACGCTTTAACAATTTTTTAAAAGATTTATTTATTCAGAGGGGGGTGGGGTCAGAGACACAGGCAGAGGGAAAAGCAGGCTCCATGCAGGAGCCTGATGTGGGACTCAATCCCGGTCTCCAGGATCACACCCGGACTGCAGGAGGCGCTAAACCACTGCGCCACCGGGCTGCCCCCCTTCCACACTTTAAATATTTTTTTTTAATTTTTATTTATTTATGATAGTCACACACAGAGAGAGAGAGAGGGAGGCAGAGACACAGGCAGAGGGAGAAGCAGGCTCCATGCACCGGGAGCCTGACGTGGGATTCGATCCCGGGTCTCCAGGATCGCGCCCTGGGCCAAAGGCGGGTGCTAAACCGCTGCGCCACCCAGGGATCCCCCCACTTCCACACTTTAAAAAAAATTCTAGTGTAGGGTACTTGGGTGGCTCAGTGGTTGAGTGTCTGCCTTTGGCTCAGGTCCTGACCACCCCTCCACCCACGGCCCTGGGATTAAGTTCCATGTCAGGCTTATCCCTCTGCTTTCTCTCTGCCTCTCTGTGTCTCTCATGAATAAATAAATAAAATCTTTAAAAACAAAATTCTAGGGTAGTATTTCATTATATAAATGTTTAGATTTTAAATTTTTAATCCATTCTCCTTCTGAGGGATGTTGTGTTTGTGTTGTTTCAAATTTGAGGCTATTATGAATAAAGTTGCTGTGGGCATGCTTTACATATTTTTTTGTGAACATATTCATTTGTTTCTACCGGGTATATGTTAAGTAGTGGAATTGCTGGGGCCATGGGGTAGGTAGATATTTAGCCTTGTTGGCTACTGGCAAGCATTTTCTATGGTTACTGGGACGGTTTACACTCCCATCAGCAATGTATTAAACATTCCAGTTGCTCTACATCCTCTTCAACACCTGGAAGTCTTTATCTGGTCATCTATAGCCTTCACTGTTAAATATATGATGGGAAACATTTATCTCCTCCCCATCTTGGTTTAGATGCTTAATCCAGCTCTTACTAAAGAATTACTCATTCATTCCTTAATTCTTGTATTTAGTTAATAAATATTTATGAAGCAATTTTTATGTGCCTGGTAGTGTATTAAGCCTCGTGGATACAAAGGTGAGTAAGAATAAGCTCTTAAGAAACTCATAGCCTAACAGAAAAGACACATAGAAGCACCCAATTAAAGTATGTGATGAATGCCACGGCGTAAGCATTGCTTGCACAGAGGCACGTGGTCATGCAGAGAAGGAATAACTCATGAATGAGAGACGGGATGGCAAAGGACACCCTCGCGGTTCCAGTTCCACCCAAGAAGGGATAATGATATGGTAACATGAGCCAACACACATTGTTCTAGATACGATGACAAGTCCTTTCCATGTCATACCCTAGTCTTCAGGGGGGGTTATACTCTTAACTATGCTCGTTGACGGCTGAGTCAACTGAGGCACACGGAAGTGAAGCAACGTGTCCATAGCCACACGACTACCAAGTGCGGAAGCTGGGATTTGAGCCCAGGAAGTCCGACTCTAGAGCAAACACTGGACCCCGGCCTAGATGGCGTGTAGGGCGACGGCGGGAAGGCATTGCAGGCCCTGAACAGGCCGCTGTGCGAGGCAGGAAGATGCAGCCTCGCAAGTTCGAGAAACCTCCAGCGACAGACTCGAGGGAACGTGGGAATGGGAGCGGGAAGAGGCCCGGGATGAAAGCCGGCAGAGGCGGGATCTGGGGACAAGGAAAACTAGAAGTTGCGTGATGGCTTTTCACTGGGAGTCGCCTGTCCCTCTGCCCCATCCCCCAACTCCAAACAATATTTAAAACCTTCCACCATGCCGTGGAGCCAGCCAGGTGGGCACGCTCGCCAAATAAGTGAGCATTCCAGGGGCCCGGATGGAGCGGAAAGCCCTGCGTGAACGTGGACCCGCAGCGCCCCCTGCCGGCTGCCTGCGCTGTCCTGCAACCGTGGGGGGGCGGCGGCCCTCGGGTGGGCGGGGCACTGGTCCTGCGCCCGTGGGGTTGGGGCAGCCCTCAGTTGGGGGTTGCGGCCCTCATGTGGGCGGGGCCGCGTCCTGAGCCGGTCCGCGGGGGCGGCGGCCCTCAGGTGGGCGGGGCCGCGTCCTGTGCCCGTCCTCGGGGGCGGCGGCCCTCGGGTGGGCGGGGCCGTGGTCTGGAGCCGGTCCTCGGGGGCGGCGGCCTTCGGGTGGGCGGGGCCGTGGTCTGGAGCCGGTCCTCGGGGGCGGCGGCCCTCGGGTGGGCGGGGCCGTGGTCTGGAGCCGGTCCTCGGGGGCGGCGGCCCTCGGGTGGGCGGGGCCGTGGTCTGGAGCCGGTCCTCGGGGCGGCGGCCCTCGGGTGGGCGGGGCCGTGGTCTGGAGCCGGTCCTCGGGGGCGGCGGCCCTCGGGTGGGCGGGGCCGTGGTCTGGAGCCGGTCCTCGGGGGCGGCGGCCTTCGGGTGGGCGGGGCCGTGGTCTGGAGCCGGTCCTCGGGGGCGGCGGCCCTCGGGTGGGCGGGGCCGTGGTCTGGAGCCGGTCCTCGGGGGCGGCGGCCCTCGGGTGGGCGGGGCCGTGGTCTGGAGCCGGTCCTCGGGGGCGGCGGCCCTCGGGTGGGCGGGGCCGTGGTCTGGAGCCGGTCCTCGGGGGCGGCGGCCTTCGGGTGGGCGGGGCCGTGGTCTGGAGCCGGTCCTCGGGGGCGGCGGCCCTCGGGTGGGCGGGGCCGTGGTCTGGAGCCGGTCCTCGGGGGCGGCGGCCCTCGGGTGGGCGGGGCCGTGGTCTGGAGCCGGTCCTCGGGGGCGGCGGCCCTCGGGTGGGCGGGGCCGTGGTCTGGAGCCGGTCCTCGGGGGCGGCGGCCCTCGGGTGGGCGGGGCCGTGGTCTGGAGCCGGTCCTCGGGGGCGGCGGCCTTCGGGTGGGCGGGGCCGTGGTCTGGAGCCGGTCCTCGGGGGCGGCGGCCTTCGGGTGGGCGGGGCCGTGGTCTGGAGCCGGTCCTCGGGGCGGCGGCCCTCGGGTGGGCGGGGCCGTGGTCTGGAGCCGGTCCTCCGGGGCGGCGGCCCTCGGGTGGGCGGGGCCGTGGTCTGGAGCCGGTCCTCCGGGGCGGCGGCCCTCGGGTGGGCGGGGCCGTGGTCTGGAGCCGGTCCTCGGGGGCGGCGGCCCTCGGGTGGGCGGGGCCGTGGTCTGGAGCCGGTCCTCCGGGGCGGCGGCCCTCGGGTGGGCGGGGCTGTGGTCCTGCGTCCTCCGACGGGGTCCAGGCATAAAAGGAGAAAACGCCCGCGACGCTCCGATGTGCAGCGCGATGGGCGACGCCAGATTTTGCTAAAATGGGATTAAGTTAAAAAACGCACACTGTGAAGCATTTGTCTGGTTAAATAATTTAACAGGTCTTGCATTCCTGCTTCAGTCGGTTTGAACAGAAATGCTTCTCCTGGGGCTTCTCCTTGCGAACATCATCAGACTAATCATGTGGAAGCCTGCCTGGTGCCAGTTGGACGGGGGGAGAGCGGATGGGTGCCTGGTGGTCCTGGTGATGATGGGAAAGGAGGCAAGGCAAAGTAGACCTTTGGGGAAAATGCAAACTTTTCTTGCCCGCGGAGTGTGTGTGTTAGTATTCAGAGACTGTTGGCGCATTGTTTGCTGCTCCAGCTTTCTCAGCAGAATGCGCGGCAGATGGCTTACATTTGCATTAGCCTTCTGGAGAAGGGATTCGCTACCAACAACATAAGCTGTAGCTTTTCTTTTCAGAATTTACAACAAATTGGCCAGAATGGCAATTTAAAAAAAAAAAAAAACATTAGCATCACTATTTCCACATTCCCTTTCTGAATAGGGTAAATGATTCCCTCTCCAACTGTGTCATTTGCACTTTTTTTCCCCCAAATGTTTATTAAAATGATTTAGGTATTTCATTATGCAAAATGACTTTTATCAAAAGACCTTTCTTTTTGCCCCACAGTCACCCATAATTTCTTTTGTCACTTGTTATAGAGTGGAGTTATGTGAAGCTAGGACATATTATTTGTTCTAGTCTGTATTGGATAATTTATTACATTAAGAAACCAATAATTTTCAAATATAATCAGATTTAAGTTTTTAATAAGATTCATCTTCCCATTCACACTTGCTTAATTTAAGGATATTAAATCTGCTCAGGAACGAGCTGCCTCTCAAAGCCTTGTGTGCCCATTAAAGGGCTTTATTCCTGATGTGTTAATAGGATTTAATTACATTACCGTCTTCATGCAGAGTCACAGTGCAATAGTTAACTGTGATAAGTCAAGCAAACAACAGCCTGAAAAGGAAGTGGTGGATGGTAGTTGGTTTATCGGCTTAGAAAATCAAGACGATTATTATTTTAAAATTGATGGTTGCATGCATTTGCATCATGTTTGGTTCAAATGCTGGAGAGAACAAACTTTCTCTTTTCCTTTAAAAAGAAAATCACTTAAAAGGCCACCCACATAAAAGGTGAACAATAAACACTTAACAGAAACTACTTAATTGCCATTTATCTTTTGAATTGCAATGAGATTTTTACTATCGACTATAAAGAGATTTGTTTCAACAATTTACCCTGCTATTCTTTTGTCTTTTTGCCTATCACATCCGTGATTTGGGGTTCAGAATAATAGCTGTGTTCATTGTTAAAAAGTAACGATTTTAAAATTGCTCTTTTATCCTGTCTTAAACTTTTTTCCCCCCTTGCTCCTGCCCTTATCCCCTGCACCACTTCCTGGGTCCCCCCCAATTAGTGTAATGACAGATAGCAGAGCTTTGGGATTCTGTGGCCTGACAAGAGGAGGCATCTGGATACATCCCTCAGTAAATCTTGTCAATTTCTCCATCAAGATCATTTGCATTGATTGGAAGTGTTGACTTCTGTGAATTTCCGTTTCATGTGAACTTGACAGAACTCAGTACTTTTGCTCATCACAGATGCCTGTGAAATAGAAGAATGATTTTTTTAGAGCATTCCAATGAATTAAAAAAAAAAAAAAAGAAAAAGTAAAAGAACCCAGCAATATGTTATCTGGTTGAACTTTTCACTTCCAGAGTGATTGACAACTTCTGCACATTTTCATGAGACATCACAGACCTGGCAAACAAAATTTGAGATGGTATACAGTCTTGTTTTACTCTGTTAAAAGTCATTATGTAGGTAGGTAGGGGGAAAAAAAAGGTATGAAAAGGCACCGGAGCTAATTTTTTTAAGCAGTAACTTTCTACCTCGGTCTGTCAGGAAGATGTTTCTGATGCCACTTTCTTCCCTGAGCTGTGCTGGTGGGAGGTGGAGAGAATGGGAAGAGAGCTATGCCCACACCATTGTTCTGCTTCTCTCAGAACCATCCACTTTCATCTCTTCTATGTATTGGGATTTTGTATACATTTTTAAAGCAGCTCCACTTTTCAAAAACAGTTTGAAAATCGAAGAACACCACTTTCTGCTCGGCCCATTTATTTAACATTCCTTCAAATGTCCAATCCCGCATGTCCCTACCATGTTCTCAGACCCTGCGCTCTACAGCGAGAATACAAGAGTGGGCGAGGAATCTCTCAGCTTCAAACTCCTATAACTACGTTAGAACCAAGCTGGAGGGAGGGCAGGTATGAATGCGGAATGCTCTACGATTCCTAGCTAGACAACCTAGAGTTTCTGCCATTCTAGCAGATAGCCCTCAATAAAATATTAATGCAGCTCATTTACATAGTTAATTATAAACACACTTAACATTTTCTCAGAGTTCGCATGTAGTGAAACTAATTTGAATGAATCCATAAGAGGACCATGAATAGCTGTCCACACTCACACAGCTTTCAGAAACTATGAGCAAATACTGTCAAAAGGCTCTCTCTGTGACCTGGTGGTTACTGGAAGACTACGTTGTCATCATTTTGAAAGTTGGAGACAGGGATGCCTGGGTGGCTCAGTTGGCTAAGTGTCTGCTTTCGGTTAGGGTGCTGATCCCAGGGTCCTGGGATGGAGCCCCACATCTGGCTCCCTGCTCAGCGGGGAGTCTGCTTCTCTCTTTCCCTCTGCGCCTCCCCCTGCTAGTGCTCTCTTTCTCTCTCTTTGTCAAATAAAAATTAGTTAATTAATTAATTAATTAGATCTTTTTAAAAATAAAAAGAAAGTTAGAGGCAGACCCCGTAGGACAAAGGGCACGTAGAGTCTGAGGCTGGCGTCCAGGTTCAGAGCTGCACCTTTTTCCTACCCCGTGTTCCTCCGTGTTGAGTACCGCCTGACCATTATTCACATCCTAAGCATCTATTTGGGTGATTACCCTCCAGGATTTTACCCCCAGCTTTCAATCATGCTTTTCTTTCTTCTGTTCATCTTCATTTCCCTGGAGCTTCCTTTTAGTGTTGTAGTCCCTCGGTCACTCCTCCTACGTTCAAGTAGCTTCTCTTCTAGAGTTTCTCATAGCCAGGGTGCATGTGCGTGCACGCACACATCGCACCCTGATAAAGGGGTAAAGAGAGGCCATGTCATGTGCGTCCGGTGAGAAGCCGTTGGGTGTGGCTGAGGTGCAGGGCGGTAGGGGAGAAAGGGCTGGAAGATGGCCCTGGGCCAGCTCTGGCGGTGGAAAGCAGGTGCATTGGCCTGCAGGCAGGAGAGAATTCTGGATTCACAGTATGAGATAGGAGCTACAGCTGTACCTCGATTTTCAGAATAGGCATAGTTCCAGGAAAATAAAGTGAAGTTCTCAATCTCTCTAAATAGTATTTCATTAAAAACAGTAGAGTCATTTCTTTGGAGAGAAATTTGACCTTGATGTATTAAAAAAGGACCTTTAAAAGTCTGTTGGGGCGCCTGGGTGGCTCAGTGGTTGAGCGTCTGACTTCAGCTCAGGTTGTGATCCCAGGATCCTGGGATATAGTCCTGCATTAGACTCACCGCAGAGAGCCTCCGTCTCCCTCTGCCTGGGTCTCTGCCTCTCTCTGTGTCTCTCATGAACAAATAAATAAAATCTTAAAAAAAAAGTCTATTGATAGCCACTTGTCCTTTTCTTCTTCAAGGCCCAGTTCTGTGCAAATCTCCAAACTATCCTCAGCGTTGTTTGTTTCCTCTGAAACTTTGTGGTGCTAGTCAGGTGCCATCTTTGTAATTTTAAATATTTTAAAATAGTATTTAAAAAAAGATTTTAAAAAATTATACAAAATCTATAAATTAGACTATGAGTATAACCGCATAACCATTCTTGAGTTTTTTTTTCTGAGAGAGTGTACTGTTTTTTTTCTTTTTAAAAGATTTTATTTATTTATTCATGAGAGACACACAGAGAGAGACAGAGACACAGGCAGTGGGAGAGGCAGGCTCCCTGCAGGGAGCCTGATGCGAAACTTGATCCCAGGACTCCAGGATCACGTCCTGAGCTGAAGGCAGATGCTCAACCGCTGAGCCACCCAGGTGCCCCTGGGAGGGTGTACTGTCTATCGACTTTGTTATCTACAATTAATTAAGGGCTAGAATTATGTGAAGTTATATGTTGACTCTTAGAGTTGTATCTAGATATTTTAAAAAATATTTTATTTATTTATTTGTCAGAGAGAGAAAGAGAGACAGAGAGCACAAGCAGGGGGAGCTGCAGGCAGAGGGAGAAGCAGACTCCCCACTGAGCAGGGAGCCAGATGCAGGACTCCTGGGATCATGACCTGAACTGAAGGCAGATGCTCAACCGCTGAGCCACCTAGGCCTCCCTGTATCTAGATGTTTGGGTGTAAATCATTTTTGGTAGGCAGGTAAGGTAACCATGAAGGTTTTGGGTTAGTGCCTTCTAGGACACTAACCAGTTCTGTATCTAATTTAACAAATTTATTTTAACAGTTCCTTATTAAATTTCCTATAAGTACCCAGCTCCACAAGTGCTCTGTCACCTTCTTACTGTTTTCCTCATTAGCTTATGAGCTCAATGAATCCTTTTACATGGATTTATTCTATTTGTATGAGAGTCATGTTTTTGGCTTTTTGGCAGAACAGTATGCTTTGTTAATATAATCATAAATACTTTATAGGCTTTAAAAGACTAAAATACTACATGCTTGTATACCATCAGTGCCATCAGAGCTGGTTGATGAGTCTTACACTGTGATAGCTTTGATTCATTTTGATCTAAAATCATACACTATGATAGCTGGATCATCCTCTTAGGTTAGTAGATATCTTTGTATAGTATTTGTTTGTTTTTTTACCTTCCAAATCCAAACCTTTCAAAAGGATGGGAATTTGTTATTACCGAGGATATGTGGGAAAACAGCAGTGATATAGGATCTGAGGGAAGTTATAAAATAGGACAGTCTTAAATGCTTTCTTTAAAGGTGGCATTTGGGAATACGTCTACAGCTTTCTAGACAACTATTCAGGGTTTAGTTCAATTCAACTAACTTTTATTGAGCATTTACCCTGGACCAGGCACTGTGAATGGGCCTGGGAATATAAAGATGAATGGGTTATAGTTGTGGGCTTCAGATATTTATAGCAGTATGTGATAAGGTGTATATATATATACATTAATACCTAGAGATGGAACTAATCTCTCCTCTGTAATGGAACTTGGATAATAATGATAGATATCCAAGTTCCATTACAGAGGAGAGATTAGTTCCATCTCTAGGTATTAATGAGTGACATCTGTGCTTCTTTCCAGGATAAATTGGTGTTCCTCAAGCTAGGGAATTGGGGGAAGCAAATGTCCAAGTGCAGTATTAAGGAGCTTGACATATATGGGGAATTGAATGTGATTAGCATTAGTAGAGCATAAAGTTCAAGGTGAAGAGATGAGAGGTAAGAGGGGTAAACTAAGAAGGAGCTGGCCCACCGATGACTTAGGAAGGACTTTTGAACAATGTTTTGCCTCCTACTGTTGCTTTAACAAATCACCACAAATTCAGTGGCCGAGAGCAACAAATATATTCTCTTACAGCCTGGGGGTAAGAAGTTTAGACTTCCTAAGATGGGTTTGCAGGCCACCACCAACCCTGTAGTCTCCAGGGAAGAATCTGTGTCCTTACCTTTTCTGGCTTCTAGTGGCTGCCGCCCAACCCCCATCATTCCAATGCCTGGTTCAGTTGTCACGTTACCTTCTCTGACTCTGGGCCTCCTGCTTCCCTCTTGTGATTACCTTGGGCCTGCCTGGATAATTCAGGATAATCTCCCTATGTCAAGATCCTTAACTTAATCACATCTGCAAAGTCCCTTTTGCCTTGTGAAGTCAAGATATCAGAGACTGGGATGCGGTCATCTTTGGGAGGCCACTACTCAGCCTGCTACAGTGTGTCATAGTTTTTGGAAAACTGTTTGAAGATCGTGAACAGATGATACACTGATCTAAGTGGTTCTCAAATTTTAGTGTGCGTGAAAACCAACTGGGGTGTTTATTAAAAATGATGGTGATTCAGATTCACTATCTCTGGGGTGGGTCTGGCAGCTGCATTCCTAACAGGCATCCAGGTGATTCTGATGCAAATGGTTTCCGAATTATTCCTTGGGAGATGCAGTTCTGATGGCTGGATGGATAATGGACTAGAAAGAAAAAGAACAGCAAGACCTGCGGATAGACTAATGTGGTAACACACAGTAGAAGGTGAATACATTGTTAATGATTAACAAAATCCTTTCCAAACCCCTGGGAGACAGTGTAGTATGTTCATTAAGGCCATATGTGATGGAGTCAGACAGATCTAGTTCCATCGCTTACACCTGTCACCATGGCAAGTTACTTCATTTAAGTCTCAATTTCTTTATCTGAAAATGGAAATGATAATATCTATCTTTATGGTGGTTTTGAGGATTAAATATGATGTGTCAGAAAAAGCACTTGGCACAGTGCCTGGCAAACAGTAAGCACTCACAAATAATGGCTATTGTGTTAAGTATCATTATATTTAAAGGACAGATGTTATTTTTTAGGAAAATGCTCAATTTGATTCTAAAGTGAATGTAGACTATCTATGGACTGTTCATCTGTTACACCCTTACCTAAATTTCTACGGAAAACAGAAGAAAAACAGTAACAACAAAACCTAGGAAGAACCCCTGTGAACACAGAGTCGGCCCAACTTGCTTTTAAATTTATAAGCTATTCCTCAGGACATATTCCTTTCTGGTTCTGCAGATCCTGTTTTCTGGCACTTGGCGGGCCTGAAGGTGATGATCGGTCTAAAGGCACAGGATGTAGAAACAGCAGAGGCAAAGCATCAAATGCAACAGAGATGGAGTAGCCCCTAGGAGATACCACTTGTTAGAACACACATGTAGAAATAGTGGAAAATTCCACCTGCCAAAATATCGGAAGCAAAGAAACTTGATAAAATAGGATTCAGTTCAGACACTCTCCTGCTTGCAAACTTGCGGAGAATTTTAGGACCTTTCAGAGAAATAAGAACACAGTTTATCTCAGAAGAAAGATGTTCTAACTGTGCCAGCTGGGTGACTTTACTGGTCACACACAGGCATTACAAAAATGGGAATAGAATGTTCCTCTGTGGCTATGAATACCTGGATTGAGGAATAAGATTTTTAGCACTAATCTGTAATCCAGAAGAGGAGCTTCCATATTCTGGTTCAAATGGGCTCCCTGTTTTATTAAGTGATGAAAAATTGTCCTCAAGAGAGTTTCTGTAATAATGAGGTAAACACATTTGCCTGCTGAATAAGGTCATTGGGGGTTCAGATTGTGTCAGTGTGTGGAGGTGAGACAGGAGCGAAGTGAAGCCACTGGTGGCAGATGGTGGCACCTCTGTTCCTTCATTCTTGCAGTCAACCCTACAGATCAAGAATAGTGTGCATCACTGGGGCAGAATGGGTAAGAATGCGAAAGTGTGCAAGAAAACCCTGTAGATGCATGCACTTAGCTTGGGCTGATGTTGATAGCCCACTTGGCAAAACATTGTTAGTTAGCCGAGCAAAGTGATCACCTCTGCCAGAGTCCAAGGGAATGTTTACCTCACTTAAAATAAAAAATTGCTTTCAGGTGTGAACTATCTGTAACCATTTGAATAATTGCCACACTGCCTATTGACAACCGTGCTTAGCTAGTCATTAAACTTAGTCCTTAAAGGGCCAGCACTTGCCAATTTTTTTGTTAATGCAGTTTCAAGACTGCATTTTGAACCATATTAAAGCTATTTTTGGAAAAATATTTCATAGTTCCATTTGAAATAATGTGATTGTACTGAATTGTCTCATTTTACAGGTGAAAAAAGTTGAAGAACTGACAATTAACCTGCTCAAGATCCTATTTTGATCTTGATCCTATCAAGATCTCAAACTTTAGTTTGAGAGTAGTAGTAGTAGTACCCCAGACAGGGAATGGGAGACAATCCAAACAACATATTTTCTAGCAGAGAGCATGTCAGGACTTTAGCCAGGAACATCTATGAGTTAACATCGTTCAACCGTAGCAGAAATGGGGCTATACCTGTCTTTAATTGTCCAGTAAATGCTCCTCAAAGATTTTAAGGTACCATTTATGGTATTGAGCTTAGGCAAGAAATCCAGAAAGAGAACATTCAGCAAGATGTATTCTTAGTGAAAGGAGGGTACATTACAGTTTGGCAAATATGACCAACTGGCTCCTTGGGATTTCTGTTTCTGGTGAATGGATTATCTCAGCCTTTAAGCAACCTCCTCTCTCTATCTCTGATGTTGCTTTTTTTTTTTTTTGATGTTGCTTCTTGATATTTCTCTGCGCATTTACACTTCACCACAGGGCAGAGAAGGAAGATAAGGTGGAAATCAGTATTCATCATGGGCTAAACCTCTAATTGCAGCTCTTAGGGTGACTGGAGGAAGGGGTAAAACGAGGTCTGGGAGTTATTTGTTGCTCTGTGTCCTTGTTCCCAAACCCAGTGCTATCCATCAACTGTCCTTGGCTTGGCAAGGCCCCCAGAAGTGTAGCTGAGCTGATCTGAAATGTAAGTCAGACAAAGATGAGATGTCTCTTTTTTGACTTAAAAATATTTTCCACTGGAAAATTGAATTCACACTGTAAAGGAAAAAATGTTTTAAACAGACTTAGTAATATTGTTTTAACTTGCAAATGTTCTTGTGTGTGTATATGTACATACTTGTAACATGTTCTCTAAATATACTTTTAGTGATTTATGGGAACAGATAGAGATGATATCCAGATAGTCTTGTGTGGACAAATAGGCGTAAGACTTCAATTTTGGCCATCACTGCCCACTGCTGATTTTCCCCCTAATTAAGACTTTGATGGGAGTCAAGAATTAGCTGAACAGTATTTTTACTTCTAGAACTGGGAGGTACCTGCTGATCTTCGGTAAAGTCTCGCCTTCTTGTATCATTTTCCGTGGACAGGTGATGCCAAAGTTAGTTAATTTAAGTTGTTTGACAGTACTGTTACGAGGAGTTTGATGAGAAAAACAACAAACTCCTGATTGTCTAAACTGCCTGGAAAATAGCCCTCTCTTCTTTCCTTCCGCTGTTCCCTCCTTCCTTCTCCTCCTTCTTCCATAGACATTTAAGTATCTACTAAATGCCAAACGTGTACTGTGCACTGGTGATGCAATAATAAATAAGATAAATATGATTTCTGTCACCCTGGCATTTGCAGAAATTGATTATTTTATGTGCGTAAGTGATTAATTAAATGAATATGACGTATGCTCTCAGGGGTTCTGGGGAGAATATAAGAGGGCAGAGCAGAGTCCTCCTATCTGGTCTTGGGGAGTCCTAAGAGATTTATGTTGTCACAAAGGAAGTGACATTTAAACTAGGTCTTAACAGAAGAAAAGGAATCTAGGTGAAGCTCTGCGGTGGCTGGCCAGACAGGCTGTGTGCAAGGAAGAGAGAGGCCGAGGGGTAAGGAATGGCCTATGCAGTCTCTGAGGTGGGAGAAAGTTTGAGGCGTCCAAGGAATGGAAATGGTGCAAAGATAGCGAGCAGGAGAGGATGGGCTGATGAAGTGGGGGGGGGGGGGTCAGAGGCGCCTGAGCATGGTGGCTTTCTGCTCAGGTGCACTACACAGGCCTAGAGGATCTCGGGAGCTCTGGGGAGTCATGGAGGCCTCACACCAGACAGTGACAGCACCAGCCTCTTGCTCTTAGAGCTGGGCCTGCTGCTCTGTGGAGAATGAATACGGAGACAGGCGGAAGAATTTAGGGGACCAGACAGGAAGCTCTTTAATTGCAGAGGGTGAGAGGGCACTGGCCAAAGAGGGTGGTGGTGAAGGTAGATAAAAAGGGAGTGACTGAATGCAAAATCCAGCTGGGCCCTGTGATTGCTCGAGTGGGTGCGTGAGGCTGGGTGGGTGCCCAGGACAACTCCAGCCTTGGTCCAGCATCCTGTCTTTGGACCTGATCCCAGAGAACATCTGTGTCATTGTCTCCTGCCTTACCTGCCTTCCTCTTTGTGGAAATAAGTAGTGGGGCGCCTTAGAGTTCTTTGTACAACCCCCTGTCCTGGCCACCTTCCTTGCTCTGACAGCCAGGGCACAGATGCCATCGTGGCCTCTTCATCTGGGGTTTCAACCATCCCTGGTCAGCTTCCTTGGCACCAGCTCTTTTACTTTCTACTCTACCAGCATTTTCCCTCCTGCATCCCCCTTCGTCAGTCTGGAGGCATCTGTTACGCAGCTCTTCAATTTGGGCCATTTAAGCAGTGAATCCTCCAGAGGCCACATGTGCCTATTTGACCCCTTGCCTTGGGTCAGCCCCTTTGATTTCTTTCCTCCTCTTTTTCTGTGTCCTCCCCACATGGATACACCTTGCCTACAGAAGAGTGCACGCGTGTATCCCACTTTGGCCCACGGTCGTGGCCTTTCTCAGCAAACTTGTCTGGATTTACAGATTTTATTTATTCATTCATGAAAGACACACAGAGGGAGGCAGAGGGAGAAGCAGACTCCCTGTGGGGAGCCTGCTGTGGGACTCCATCCCAGGACTCTGGATCACGGCCTGAGCCAAAGGCAGACGCTCAACCACTGAGCCACCCAGGTGCCCCAGAAATCTATATTTTTGAGGCATCCTTGTAAGGAATTGTTTTATAAAATGAACAATCCTTCTGCCCTAATCATTGGATTTCCC